TACAAATTGCTGGATGTTCAAAAAACCTGAGAAATCTACAAATGCCTGGTGAGGAAACTTGCCATTTTAGGTTTGATATTCGTTTAGGAAAAGACAGACTGTTTTTTTATTCTACATTTGAACAATGTCTCATGCAAAAGTCTTTATGCTTTCTCAAGCTCTCTGACAAGTGCTGTAATATATTATTTAGTTCTGGGGTTTATTCAGAGGTGAAAATTCTTCTACTTTACCATCTCTGTGAGCTAGCTTTTAGTGCCAAGAAAGGATGGAATTAAGTTCTGAAACTTAAACAATCGTTCTGTTTGAAGTTTATTTTTAAAACATGGAGGAAGGAGAAGAGCTCAGTGTTGTGGTTTCTAACTGATACTAAAATTTTATTATCAGGCACATCAATTGTTTGAGACATGTAAATGTGAACTGTAAGTTCTCTTTCTCAGACTTGTATCTGGAATCCATCTTCCCATCCAGTGAAAATATCAAAGCAGGATTTGTTCTGTAATAGTATTTCTCAGTAGAGGTCATTGTGCTGCCAGCCTTGACTGTACTGGGATTTGCTCAGAAGTGAGAAGTCAATGTTTGCTGTCACTCATTCCTCAGCTGTACCTTACTGTGCTTCTTCTGAATGAACCCTTACAGGCTTCCCAGAAGGTAGGCTGAGCCCTTGCTCTGAGCTTGTGGTGGTCAAAGATTCAACTTATAAATGGGTCACAGAGCTTAAAACTGCCCTATGAGACATCATTTGTTCTTGTTTCTCTGTTGTGTGTTTGTGCTGCACAAGGTACCTTCCCATTTCCTCTGAAAACAAACTTTTGCAGACCTGTCCTATGGTGTAGCCTCTCATCTGAAATGAGAACTCTCTGATCAAACAGTTTGATTTAGGAAGATGGACACTTTTATTGACGTTAAAACCATTTGCTTTCATCTCTTGACCTTCACTCTCTTTTTCTACACCCAGCCAGCAGCCACAAGCCCACACAGCTGCTCACACACTTTGGGAATTTAACCTAACTTATTGCTATAGTATATTTATTTGCTGATTCAGGTATTGGGAACTGAAGAAGACAAACAATAAAACATCTTTCCTTCCCCTTTCCCAGGCTCAACTGAACTGCAGACACATCTCCTCCCCTCTTGTTATCTCCACAGGTTATACTCAGTTCCTTTGGTGAGGCAGTGAGTGGTAACAGGGGTTTGGGGTCAAGATGTAGTGGTTTCTCTCTGCCTTTCCTTGTTTCTCACCCTTTTGTTCCACTGCTGCTTCCTTCTTACTAATTTCCTTTACACCAGTGTGGTCCCTCTGTGAGCCACAGTCTCTTTGGGGTTGTGGCTGCTCAGTTATGGAGCACCTCCAACTCCTCTGACCTTGTTATCCCCTCATTCCCTTGTTTCTATCCTTATCGCCTGGTTCCCTTGCTCCCTCCTTGTCTCCTCTCACGTTCCCTCACAGGTTTGTCTCTTCCCATTTGGCATTTTCTGCCCTTTGTTCGGTGTGTTTTCACAGAGGCCGCACACATGTGGCTGATGGGCTCCGCTTTGGCACGTGGTGGGTCCATTGCAGAGCCAGCTGGAATTGGCTGTGACCAGCACAGGAGAGCCCTGACCTCCCTCCTCCCCTGGGGCCACCCCTGCAGTTTCATGAGCAGGATGAGTGAGGAGCACAGGAGGCCAGAACATTCATTGCCCAGCTTCAGGTAGAGATGCAGGAGTAGGCAGGTCCGATTGTATCATCAGAGGGCCTATTTGGACGTAATTTATCAGAAAGGAACCCAGGAGGAATCTTGAAACTCATTTGTAATTGTAAATCCGATACATATTTCCACTTCAAGAAAGAACTGAACCGTGAAATCTGTGATTTTCCATGTAGCAAAGTAAAGTTAACTGTATGTGGAAAGAAAGTTAATTGAGTAATTGTATTTTGGCCTGAAATCCGGTACTGAGTAACAACTTGATATTTTGAAACTACAGTGGCCAGTTAATTTTCCTTTATAAGCTCAAGTCACACCTGAGAAGTGGTGCAAAAAAAAAAAGATATTCTGAAACTTTGTGTTGCAAATTTTGAAAATGCAGTTTGCATCTGAAAACAGCAGAAATTGTTGATACTAACCTTGACTTCAAGTTGCTATCAATCAGTTTTCATAACCAGGGTAGTTCTTGACTGGGTTTTTCATTGAGGGAGTATAGATAAATAGTGTAAGAGATAATTACTGTTTTATAGCAGCTGATGGGACATACTGAGGAAATTCTGCGAAATGTGTCTCTGGAAGACTTGACTGGAAAGAGCTATGGCACATATTAAATTATATCAGCAGTAAGAAGTTTTGTGCTGAAAAATACAGAGTTCTCTTCCTGTAGGATGCAAGATCATGTCTTAGAGCCACTCAGAAAGTGTTTGGCAAATCATCGACTACAGCTTGTCTGAATCTTTACTGAATGCTTTAGTCAATGCTTTAGGTCTGGGCTTGGGCTACAGACATGAGCTTTGAAGAAGAATTCTGAAATTCCTTCAAACTCTTATTTTGAGGTCTAATTTGGTCTATTTCTTACACTGAGCCAACAAGGAGGTTCCGATAAAACCTCTAAGTCTGCTGCAGTCTGTATGGGACAGATGAGGGATGAAGGTTTTTGCCCTGGATTCACCATACCACCATACTAGACACAGATTTGTTAGGAGATGCGATACCCAAAAGGAATCTCTCCCAATGCTTAAAACCTGCATGTTTTGGATGATAGTTAAAACATTTAGTTTTGTTTATATCAGTATAAATCACCCTCTTTAGAGCAAATGAAGGGCCAAGCTAGCAGAGTACTATACCTATACTTTCAAAAAAATCCCTAGCCAAAACACTTCCCTAAAATCAGCTATTTAATGCAGCCCCTTTGCCAGCTCATTGCTGTGGGAACTCAGTCTTTCATTTATTTATGAAACCAGACAGATTCTTGTCTTGTGTGCAGAGCTGAAATTCTAGGTAAGTGTCCAGATTTTTTTTTAAGTTTACTTAAGATGGGACTTTTTCTTTTTTAGTCTGAATTCAGTGGTGTAAATGGTATGACCATTCAACAGTACCTTGCCAATACTTGCACATTTTAGGTTTTGAAAAGCGTTGACAGTGACTGTAGACGTTCTGTTAGGGTTTACCAGATACCAGTTTGGAGTTTGAGTTAGAAAAGATGAATTTAAGTAAAGTGAATTACTTAAGATTATAGGGAAACTATGTGGGGATCTTTCAAAGCAGATTCCTGTCTTTAATTTCTATAACCCTATAGCCCAAGAATCTGTGCCCACCATTGCAGATAAATGATTAATGTGGCCCATTTTGGTTTCAGAATAAAATTAGATCAGTTTGTTGAAACACTTGTTGGACTGAAGTCAAAGAGAAAAATCCCATCAACATCAGTGAGATCAATTTACTGAGTCACTAGGATTTCACCATATATGCTTGGTGTCATCAAGATTTAAAAATAACTCACAAATTTTGACAGTACACTATAACATACTTACCTGAGGGATAATTAGAACATTCATGGTTAGTCTTGGATAAAATTCTTCCTTAGTAATATTTATGTATCCTGTCTCTCATTTGTATTTTAAAACATAACACAAAATAATCAAATATTTAATGAGTAAAATACTGATATATTGATTATTATATTTATGATTTTGGAAAAATGTAAATTATAACAGGGAAAAAAACCTGCAAGGCAACAAAACCTGATTATTGTTTTCTGTAAGAAAAGGGATATGTTTCTGAGTTCTATGTAAAGTATAACCCACATTAAACTGGCTGAAAATGTGTCTATTTACAGTGTTTATTAAACAATCAAATTTGCTTCTGGAACTCACAGTTCGTCTGAGTGTTTATGTATGTTCATATACAGTCATATGTTAGTCTGCATTAGGAAATAAAACCTAAGTTTGTTTCAACTGGTTATGAACCAAAGTGACTTAAATACCTGCATTTAATGCAGGTCAGTATTTTCTTTGGAAAATTAGTAGTTATGCTAAGAAAAACTCAATATCAATAATAACGCATTTTCACTTCACAATGTCTTTTAAAAAATGTATTTAAATTGATGTGGATAATACTTAAAAAGTTACATTTTTGATGAAACTGGAAGATTAGTTACAAAAAATGCTATTAATTTTAAAAAATCAAAATACAATGTCACAAGCATTTAATTTAAATGCTGCCTTCTAATAATAAATTCCTTTTATCTGTTTTATTAAAAACATTTAGTCTTGTATTGGAAGTAGTACTGGGTTGTTTCATTTGATTTGTTTTATTTATATTCAAAGAATTATTTTTTATTTTGAAACATACCATTTAAAAAATATTATTCATTTTCAACAGGATTCAAGTTTTGATATCTAAATAATGGTAAGTCTACAAAACTTCTATTCTATTTCATTACCGAGTGTTTCAAATACTAAGAGTCTAAGGTAGACTCTTAGTCAAACTCAAATTTGGGGGGATTTTTTAGCTTTTTAGAACAAGGTGTTCTAAAATTATAATAAGCAGTTTTCTGAAAATCCACACTTGGTTTCCTGTACTGGCATAGTATGGCATTATCTCTGCATAATTGCTTCAGAAATTATATGTAATAATTTTTGTCATGTCAATGTTATCGAATGATGACTTTGGCTTCAAAAGTCATGTTAGACAATTGATACATACATTTCTGTATTACAGGCTATAAAACTCTCAAACAGTATTAACACCCTTTATGTAAACTTCTGTTGTAAATTAAGGAAATGAACCTTGAAACATTTGACCAAGTGAGTAATGTTACCCGTGTAAGCTCTCCCACTGACCTCAAACAGACTTCTCAAAGCAGTGAGAACTTTCTCATAGTAGTAAAAAATTATGGTAATGCCTCAGTGCCTGCAAAATGCTTGTTCCAAGAGGATGTGTATTCTATACAAGCACTGTATTTGTTTGGGATCTGCTGATTGACAATGCTGAAAAAACCAGCCCGGTCTTTTCTGGTTCCTGATCACAAAAATGTTCTTGCAGAGTTTTCCTGACCAAGATGTCCTGGGCCAGGCTTTTGAAGATGCATTAGAAGTACTGCAGCAGCACTCTGACAGAGAAATGCAGTATTCACCAGGTAAAAAAGACCCATATTCCACTTCATTTACCACCTCCTATTTTTACAGGAAAATAGCTTGTAAAACATATAGGTGGGAGAGTAATTTTGAGATGAATTAATGGAGAGCAGAGGGATGTTCTGGGAGGATGAAAAGGAGGAAGAATATTTGCAGGGTTTCCACCCCTCTATTAGTACAGCCCAGTGTGGTGAGTATCTTCCAGGTCACAGGACAGGGAAACTGTTGGACTAACCCTCTCTACCTGCTCCCTAGTATCAGCTCAGGAACACAGAGCTCAGGTTTCCTATAATCAGAGGATATATGACCATAATGCAGCAGCCATTTTCCAGTTCTGATGCTTTAACTTAAAAATGCCATTCTGCTATGCTATGAATAAACTCATGAACTCCAGTGAAAAAAAAACAACCCAAACAAACAAAAAAAACAGCAGGTGAAATTAATTTCCACATTTAACTTTTTTTACATTAATATATAAATTTAAAATATTTTATTCAAGAATGATAGTTTGAGTCCGGATAATTAATAGAAAATTATTTTCCTTGGCTTCAAGAGTTTTATATCTTAGGAAATATAAAGTGCAATAAAGCTGTAAATTGTTCCAGTTCTGGCAAGGTTTTGGCAGTTAAATTACTATAAAATTTAAAATCTGTGCTTGGTGTTTTCACACTGTAAACAGAAATGGAAGGAAAGGAAAGTAGCAGGGTGCATCAAAAATTCTCTAAGTTCGTAACAAAATATGTCCTGTCTTTTGCATAAAATGCATTTCATACAAGGAAATTTATTTACATATTATCTATTATAAATTATTATTATATATATATATTCTACATGTATAATTATTCTCTAATTATCCAATTCATTATGTTTGGTGACTTCCTTGCCCTCCATTTTGTAGTAACCAAACTATTTCATGGTGCTATGAAATATCTGACATTTTATCTTCAAAAAAATTTGCTTTCTCCCTTCTTCTCTCCCTTTTACTCACTTGGTTTTTGCTACCTCCTCCTAATTATCAGGTTATAAAAATTGCCTGACTGTGATCAACCATCACCACCACCTCCGAGCAAATCCCAGTTACTGTGTGGCACCATCTACGGAGGAGCAAGGGTATAGCTGGAGAAATGTAAGTGATTATCACTAGCAGGCAGACATAACTGGAATAATGATTGCTCACTTGTGATTCCTAAAACAAAATCTTTATTCTAACACTAATGGGAATTTGGTCTGGCCAGGCATGATTCAGATGAAACTTCCTTGGGATATATTTGAAAAACATGATTAATAGTATAATTTTAGGAGTCATCTTTGCTCTTTGCCTCTGGTGCTCTTCTGTGGTTCATCACGTCACATGACAACTAACAAACAAGCCTTCAAGTATACAGGGAAAAGGGCTTCTTTGTATTACCTGGGAACAGGCAGAGAACAACAAATTCCAACCTCAGCATATCTTCTACCACTGTGAAAAAGTACCACAACTTTGATTTCTCCAACAGCTGTTTGCTTTAAAAGTTCTGGAAAGACCATGAGTATCAGGACTCTGAGCTCAACTTCAGCCAATAGAATTCATATTCATTTTTAAAAACACTGGGAGTGTGGCCTCCAGGAGTGATGGAAAATGCAGGGGAAATAATAGATTCCACAAAAGGCCATTTTCAACCAACAGATTAATGACAACATGACATAGGAACTACAGAGTCTGTAGGGGACACTGTCCAGGTGGCTCTTGTCTTTTACTAACTCTGGAAACTGTTCCTCCTCCGCTTACAGCAGAAGGGCAATAATGCTGTTTTCCTTCTTAGTTTCTTGCCTAGTGGGCAGATATTGCCCCTGGACATAAATTAGTGCTGCTTTTTACTGGTAAACCTTCCTTCCTGGCTGAGAAAAATCTTCCGTGGATGGGGTGATGAAAGGTTGCATTTTGAAGGCTTCTGGCATTACCACAAGTTTCTTTTTCTTTTGTGGATGTACTCTATTAGTAACTTTTTGTTGTCTTAATTCTTGAAGAACAGTGCAGCGGATTTTTATGCAGATGAGACTGTCTACCATACACTGCAGAATACTCCAGAAAGTCAAGTGATGCATCCTGCTGCTGGCCAACCAAAACCAGGGAAAGGTCTGTAGAAAGATAATGTCTTGAACATTACGTTACTTCAAAAAAATCTCTTGGCAAATCATGCTTTCTCCTTTTCCTTTTTTTTTTTTTACTTTCAATAGGAAACAATAAGTGAACATTCATTAGTAAGGAAAATGCAACTGCTAAAGTTCAGTTCCCAACTGCTAAATCTTATAAGATATGATAAATCTATTATTAACTTACTTTGTCCTTGCTTAGTACCTGGAAAAACAAAACAGGGATTTTTTCACTCCAAATCATCTGGGATGAAGTCTGATGCAGAAAAATAAATCTATATAAATCTAAATAAATCTTTTATTTCATGTGGTTCAACAAGCAGTGATTTTCTTGAAAGTTTTTTACATACGTGAATATTTTTGCACCTGACTCATGCCTGTCTTTGTTTGCTTTTCAAACTACGTTTTAGCTTTTGCCACTCCCAGTGTGCATTTTTATAGCTATTTTTCTGCTCCTTTGGTTGACTTTACTTCAATGGATATCTATTTTGCAAAGAATGTGTTGGGTGACATTGGTTGTTACTTTTTTTTTTTTTTGGTGGGACTGCTAGATGAGATTTCCACAGATTCCACTCCAAACTGTTGTACCTACTTTTGAGTAGCTTCCTGGTTTAGCCACTCTGTGAAATCCCCTTCTCTCAACATTAACCACAGAGTGTCAGTTTTTGGTATTGTCTCTTCCCATTGATGCTGAACATTGTGGTCTCTGTTGCTTAATAGCTACTACTACTACTACTACTACTACTGCTACTACTACTACTACTATTACTACCACAGACTCTTTGGGACAATAGGAATAGTAGCCTCTATTTTAAAGTTCTGTACTTCGGGTATCTGAAATTCACCATTGCAAATGAGAACATTTCAATCCAGAAATTTTGCTTTTCTAGGTCTTACCCACTGTTGCACTGGGGAATTTTGCATGTCAGTATCTGATTTCACCTTCAGTTGTTACTGTTGTGTTAAACTTCATTTCCTATTTCCTATTTCTTTTCCTATTTCTGTTGCCAATCTTTCCCAGAAGGCAATACTGCAGAAATTATTTGAGTAACTTACTATTCCTATGGGCTTATCTTGTGTCCTTTTATGGGTTTCTTTGTGTCCATGGTGATATTCCTGCCAGAAACTGTGATTTGGGGGACTATTTCCCCTGTACCTAAATAAATTTAGTCCTCTTAGTTTCTTATTGACACATGAGAAGTTTTTTGTGCTCTAACAAGTAGTGTGGCTCTTTAGGAATAGATCTGTAGATGAAACAATCAGTATTGAGGGCCCAAATCCTGTGTTTCAAGTGCTTCACAAAGGTTCATTTAGGGCAATCTCTATGCTGGCCACAAGTTCTGAAAGCTGTACTGGTTTAGATATGCTTCTGGAAAGCATCTTCTGAGTTAGGTTTCTTCTGAAAAGAGTCCAGTTCATGCCCATCAAGACCATTCCATGGGGTACTCCAGAAATGTGTTTGAATTAGTCACATTCTCCCCAAGAGAATTAGACTGCTTCAGGACAATTCAGCTCAGAAGTTTAATGCAGATGCTCTGAAACACCCTCTGGAGGAACCTGCTTCTCTCCAGTCATCACATTAGAAAGCTGCAGGCATTTACCTGCTAGCTTAGACTTTAGGGCCTGGTACTGAACTAGCTTATGCAATAAGGTGCAGTACACAGGCCTGTAAACTAACCCCAGCTCAAATTGGTGCCCTGTCCAACCAAGATATCAACTGGAGGCAATGTGTCTAAAATGAAAGTATGGGCAGAAATGACAGCTGAACTTAAGAGGGCAGACAGCATGAAATCAGATGCTGCTGCAGACCTGGCTACGTGATCCTTTCCCAGCAGAAATTGAGTCCACAGTAGTCTGTGAATTTCCCCCGATCTTATTTGTTCTGCCACAGGTTTATAGGATAATTAATGTTGGCAAGGACTTAAATAGGTCACCTACTAAGAATTGTCTGCTGTGACCAAGCTTTTAAGCTTCTTGTCTCAGTAATATTATATGTATTTCTAATAGCATATGTACTTCCAGTCACAGGTCAATTTTTATTTCGATAATGAAACTTTATTAATTTTTTGGAAAGTACCTCTGATTTCAGGCTCCTCTTTTCCCCAGTCCAACTGTTACTTCTCTCCTCTTTCCTTATCACCAGATACAGAATTACTGTCATCCCTGACAGATGTCTTTGACCTCAGTGTTCCTTAGCAACTGTTACTTTTCCCCTGTTCCTAGCTTAAAATAACCACACAAGACAAGACTTTAGGTGCAGCTGCTTGTTTGCACTTTGGTTAAAGTGGAAGATGTTCTTCTGCGTAGATTCTCCTTTCTGCAAAATGTTCCTCTTTGTCTCATAATCTTAAATTCTTCCTCCTCACAGCAGCTTCTTGATCACCCTTGGCTTTGTGAAAGGAACTAGAAGTACTTCAGAGAGGAGGATCCACAAGATCTAATTGAAGCTAAATTAGCCCCACTAGTAAACTTAAGTTTAAAAACTGAGCCTGTGGAGAAAAAAACTTAGCTGACTTAGTTACTAAGCTTGCTTTATTCTGCATGGGAATTCAAGTTGATATTTCTGCTGATTTAAAAAACATTACAGGGTACCAGAGGTCTAGCTCCTTTTTGAGAAACCTACATGAGGTTTCTGGTTAAAAACTAGCCTGCTTTTCCTGCTCACCCACTCACCATTTCTTATATCAAAGACTACCTTGCATCCCCAAAACATTCCTGAAGCAAACCTGACAAAACTGAGCCATCTCAAAATCTTGGAGTTTTGATTAAACAGGGAAACTATTAATCCAAAAACATTCTGACTGGCTCTCCAGAACCTCTTTCCCACCCTGTCTGAGGCTGTATTTTCTTAGTGTGTGTTCCTTCACCATGCATCTGCACAGCATGTGTCTGAAGGCTGCTAAAAGTGGCTTCTGAGACCTAGTGAAGGTGTAGACCAGTGAAGTCACCAGATATTTGTCATGATCCCCAAATAACCTGCTCTTGAAACTCTAATTACCAAATCCCTTTCTGTCACCACATGTTTCAGAATAATGATCCCATTTGCTGTCACTGGTCTTCCATTGAATAGTTTATACTGATCTTTTAATTTGCAACAGGGTAATAGGTTAAGCTATGCTTTTGTCTGTAAGATCTTTTCCAGGAAAAAGACAACTGCTCATCTTTGAAAACAAGCATGAGTTCTGTTCTGACCTTTTGTACTTTATCTCTTTTTAGGTAGAAAAAAACTGCGACTATTCGAGTACCTCCATGAGTCCCTGTATGATCCAGCAATGGCAAACTGCATCCAATGGGTGGATAAGCCAAATGGTGTCTTCCAGTTTGTCTCCAAAAACAAGGAGAAACTTGCAGAACTGTGGGGAGAAAGAAAGGGAAACCGCAAGATCATGACATATCAGAAAATGGCCAGAGCACTGAGGAATTATGGAAGAACAGGCGAAATAATTAAAATTCGTAGGAAGCTGACGTACCAGTTCAGTGCTGTTGTTCTAAAGAGACTTGCTCCATCTTATTTCTTAGGAAAAGAAACAGTTTATCATCCCTACATTCAGTCTAATCAAGAATATCAGTGTGCAGATGACTGGACCAGTTACAATAATTACATGTACAACAATGGTTATGCATTGCAGCATTCTAACAGCTAGAGTTATCCTTCACATTAATAGTTCTTATCCAGCAATACTTCCCAGCACAGAAACTCTTCTCTTTACATAGATTTTCCTTTAAGTTATCATACATGATACATGAAGAGGAGGGTTTAAAAAATTATGTTGGCCTAGTTTTGTTCCTTTTGAAGTTAATGATATACAGTCACTGAATGTTGAAGAAAAACAGCAGCTGTAGGACACATTCTATTCTCCATTATGTTAATCAAAGGAATTACTGTAGTTTCAAGATGGTATATCCAAGATTAGGATCCAGGCTTTTGTCTGTTAGTGGACACCAAAGATCCCATCCTGAAAACACTCATCAGAAGTTTTATACATATTTCCAATCAGAAATTTAGATGGTGTTGTGCTATAGTTACTGCACTCCCCTAAAGTAGAAAGGGAAGAGGTTTGTCAACTGCATGAAGCTACTGTCTCCTTTTTTCATCATTATTCTTTATTAAAAGACATTTTCTGAGTGAATGCCTGGCTGAATGATAGAGTCAGCATGAGGGTACACCTGTTGACCAAGTTTTTAATCCCTAATCACTTAAATTAACATATCCTAGCACAGATCTTGATGTGGTATTTAGATTGCCAGGTGCACATTTCACTGTTGGCAGTGGATTCATTGGGACCATGAGTTTGTAAAGGATTGTGCTTTTCATGAAGTTATTTGCAGTTCTTCCCCCACTAATACGAGAAGCTCAACTTTTAACCAGCAGTTCTGTACTCACCTAACAAACATAGCTTTGCCATGTATTTTAGGAGTTAGAACTTTATAAATATAAATACAATTTCACTTCTCCATCTCTTTTCCTACATGGGAATGTAGCTGAAAGGCTCAGTGATTTTACAGTCTCTTCATGGGGAAGAAGAACTACATTTAGGTAAAAATAGAGTAGTAACCACTTATTCCAGGAGAATACCTATAAGGCTACTTTTTTCTCATACTTCTGTTACCTGATTGACTCGTGTCATCATATCAGTTGTCTGTTGTGCTAAGATATTTCCATTCAGCTGTGTTCGATTTCAAGTTCTGCATTTTGCTTCAAGTGAGTACAGACACAGATATTAATAAAGACAAAATTAATTTCTGTGGAGAGGCGTAAATGACGGCCTGATATGTTTGATGAAATTCAATGACTTTGATAGTTGCCCCTTGCTCTGTCTCCTGCTTACTTGTACAGGGATATAATTTTATGTAGCAGACACAATGCAACACACTCAGCTTCAAGGTTTAGAAGTAGTACTTTGGTAAGATGAAAGATGTCTACTCTTTGAAATACAAAACATGTTAAGTAGCACTAAAAAGAGATTTTATGTCAGTAAACATGTGCCAAAATAAGAAGGTCATAACTGCATTGTTAATATTTCATTTTGAGTGTAGTGCCTTATAAAATATAAACATTGACACAAAATAGACACTAGAATGCATCTGGTCTTACAGAACTGAATCTGAATCCTACTGCAGCACTGAATGCAGTGGGAGTTTCGGTCTTACAAAGGACTGAGGTCTTTCATTTAGGATCCTTCACTATGTGGACATGTGTAAATACAACCCCTCAACTTTCATAATGTACATAAATTTGCCAAGGAAATGCACAGTTGAGTTACTTGCCATCTATCACCCTTTGCACACTGGTAACATACACTGGATTAAGAGCCTTCTTGGTGTAAAATGCTTACATAATCGGTGTAAAAAGCTAACTTAATCAGTATGTTTATATTAATTTCCCTCTAATTCATCTACTTTTTAAGGAAATAAATACTTATTAAGACTCTTTCTTATCCTTTTAACTTGGGTATAAACATTAGTATTTTCTTCCTGTAAAACTGGTAACCAGATGAGATGTTATGGTTCCAACTGGGAGAACAGTAGAGAGCTGAAAGAGAAGAGCATAAGGGGGAAGAAGAACTGAAGGAAATTCAGGCAGACTAAATAAAATAAATAAAATAATAATAATAAAATAAATAATAATGGCCAGTCTTCGCGAGCGAAGATCCGGGGAAGGTCTTTCCACCTTCCAGCCTGCGCATTGGATTTTTTAGGTGAGACACAGTGTGCGCGGAACTGAGCCCACCCTTTAATCCTAAGGTTCATCTGCCGGGGCCAAGCGAGCTTGGACGGTGGCAGCGAGGTCCTCAGGACGTAGGTGGGTTGCCTTTAAGGGCTAACAAGCTCCACCTGCCCGGGAGTGGCCCTGACCGGGAATCGAACCCGGGTCTCCGTGGTGATAGCGCGGCGCCTTTACCACTGGACCACCAGGGGCTCCTCAGGCAGACTACAAATGAGGTAATCATAGTATCTGTGGATAGAAGGATAATGGTTTCAGCCACAGGAATTAACCATGGGAACGGGCAATGTCAGAAAGTGATTTCTTTGAAGAAAGGTACATGGCATCCCACCTTTTGCCTCCCCAACCAGATGGGAGGATTTAGAAGCTGCTACTGTAGTTCTGTGGATATCTAACTGTGCAATGCACTGATGCTGAGCTAACAAACATAAAAAGTTCTTGACTTTTAACAACACTTGAACCTAGCAGAGGCAGGTTAAATTATAAGCAAAAGCATAAGGTTGCCAAATATCTCAAGCACAGACTTAGGCTTACTGATGTCTAAAAGAAGGTGTAGCTGTTTTCACTGTGCAAGTGTTTAACCACTGAAACAATACAAGGGATATGGTAGATTAACTGTTTCTCAATGTCTTTAACCCAAGACTGTGCCCATTTTTAAGATGTACAGTACTGCAATAAAGTCATGATAAAGTCATAGCCAAGTACCACAAAACACAAGACTGAATGTATGAAATTGGACTCCTGCTAGTCTCAGTATTTGCAGGATCCTGTCATGTAACTCCACATAGAAAATTCAAGGCTATGTGGGGAGATCTAAATAGAACTGAGGTGGGTGCTTGTAAGGCATTTTGATTCCCAATGCTTGGGCACCTCACTCTCCCTTCCTGTCCTCCCACCTTCAACCTCTGTGTAGCATCTCTGATCTTTCCCATCTCCACAGGATTAGACACAAAGTGTGATGGTGCCAAGTACCCAAGGGAAATATGAGAGACCCTTCCCAAGAGAGCATCTTTATCCCATCTATGTAACCCGTGATTACTGGCCCATTGCTCCCATTGTTGACTTCTCCTCTGTCTCTCTCCTGTCTCCTTTCTCATCACCCAGCCAAATCAGACCAGAAAGCAGTCTGTCTGCCCACCCATCTGCCTATATTTCAAACACACCTCTGACTTAGAGGCTGCATCTCACCTAAAAAGAACCCAGGAAAGGGCATAGGTGTGGGGAAAGAAGCTGTGCTCCTTCCAGCTCCTGCACTCAGTGTCCCACTTTAAGCAATACACCAGTCTGAGCAAGGTGCCCCACGCTGAAGTCCTGCGTGTATCTACCCACTATGAGAAAGACACTGAGGTGCTGGGGTGAGTTGAGAAGGGCAATAAAGCTATTGAAGGGTCTGTAGCACATATCTTATAAAGAATGGCTGAGGGACCAGGAGGTGTTTAGCCTGGAGAAAGGATGCTGAGGGAAGACCTTATTGCTCTCTACAACTATGTGAAAGGATGTTGTAGTGAGGTGGGGGTTGATCTCTTCTGGCAATAACCGAGCATTAGGACAAGATAAAATGGCCTCAAGTTTCACCACAGGAGGCTTAGATTCGATATTAGGAAATATTTCTTCACTGAAAGGATTGCCAAGCACTGGAACAGGCTGCCCAGGGAAACGGTTGAGTCACCATCTCTGGAGGCATTCAAAACACGTGTAGATGTGGCACTTAGGGACATGGTTTAGTGCTGGGTTAATTGTTGGACACAACGATCTTAGAGGTCTTTTCCAACCTAAACAATTCTATGATTCTGTAATACTTTGGCTCATGATGCTTCAGGCACTCATGAGCCTTTCAGAAGCCTCTGAAGGGATGGAAGAAATCAGCTTGCATGGATGTAGCTAGGCATGTGGTTAGTCTCCTTGCTCATCCCTTGCACCAACTTTGCAGTCTGGTCTCTGTTCAGACATGGCAGACAAGATCAGAGAGTCCCAGGGAAGAGCTGAACTGATGCCTGTCCCCAGCACACAGTACTTGTTTGCTCAAGTGATCTCAGGTATGATATCACACCTTCTACATAGAATCACTGAATGGTTTGGGTTGGAATGACCTTTAAAGGCCATTTCATCCAACCACCCTGCCAATAAGCAGGGACATCTTCAACTAGATCAGGTTGTTCGGAGCCCTGTCCAACCTGACATTGAATGTGTCCAGGGATGGGGCAACCACCACCTCCATGGGCAAACTGTGCTGGTGTTTCACTACCCTCGTGTAAAGAGCTGTAGAAACATCAGCTGCAGCTCCAGCACTGTGCTCTGATGGAAGGTCTCTGTGCTACCCTTTAGGATGGCATGAGGTGGGGGTGCACCTTGGTGGAGTGAGTTGCCACTTTGGAGTGGGTGGTGGCTCTGGGCCCACAAGATGGCACCAGTGGACAGCTTTTCACAGGGGGGCTGTGACACTTGCAGGCCTTCAGGTCATTTGCTCTCTCAGCGTCCCTGCTATTTTTTTCCTTTGCCCCCTTCCACGTTTAATTTTTTTCACCTTCATGGACAGCACTGCTGCTGATGCAGCAGAAAAAACACTGCCTTTTGAAGCTACCGCCTGTCCAGTTCCAGCTGTGGCAGATACAGAAAGTGTCATGATAGAAACCCCACAAATTAAAGCAGATACATTATGTCAGCAGATCACAATTCCGTGTTGACTACCTGAAAAACTGTCAGTTTTACATCTGACACTCAGTGTCTTCTCCAAAATAAATATGACTGCAGTGGCCTCCAGCATGGCTGAGGGTGATGCATGAGGAAGAAATAAAGTTTATCTTTCAGATTTAGACTCTGGGATTCCTGCAGGCAGGTATTACATAAACAGCCTTACAGATTCTGTGAAGGAGACAGAACTAGAGCACCTTTGTAATGTATTTTATCTACCCCCTCTTT